TCACTACAAACGTGATTCCAAGACTCGTCAGAAAATGTGCAATATACGTAGTGAATAGGCAGGGTTGGGCGCGCGTTTAGTGTGCAAATCTAAAGAAGTTAGGTTTAATAATACGTCTGTAGTGATTAAGAAAGTTAAGATAAATATAGTGTACCTGCCAGTCCCCAATTACATCCATTTTTAATGTTCTCAAGTGATTTCCCGAATCCCGAAGAGATCCAGGACCTAAAATATATTGTCGTAAGGCAGTCTTCATTTCCTATCTGTACAGAGCCAAGAGCACGTCTTGCTTGACATTTATAAATAAATATAAATCGTTTATTCTTTTCTAAAAACACTCTGCTACAAATTTAAAAGCCAACAAACTGTAGGACCGTTTGATGATAGAGACGCATTCTAAATTTCAAAAAAAGATTAAGTGTGACAGTACACATTAATTATTGTCTATTTGACTTAAGAATGCTTTTTGATTGTCTTGAATTTATGATGTTCATATTTCTATGGACTGAAATAAACAATTATTATTATCCAAACCCAAACTCAAATAATTATATTTTAATTTCATAAATAAACAAAGAACAATTGAAATCGTCACGTTGGATAAAATACCAAGGCGTTGCTTACTAATCTGAGCCTTACCGCCCAGTTACCACGCTGTCACGTACATTACTGGCGAAACTGAATTCTATTTACTAGGTAACAACATTTAAATTCCTTGGAATAATACAACCGCTGTGTCTCGCTCGGCAGCGGCGTAGACCAAATTCAAGCCAGTCTCGCCCGCGTGTCCGGGACGCTTATTTAAGTTAAAACGTAAAAGCTAATTGAATAGGGCGTATTCTGCCATGACGGTTAGATGTACGCGGTCGCAGCATGGCGGCCACGCAGCCTTCGCGCTGCGTGAGCGCGATGAAATCCGTGTGGAATAAACGCGCCCTTAATATTTAAATTCAAATTTATACAGCTTGCAATAAACACGGCCCAAAAATCGAAGTGTCAAAGCGTAGCGCGCTCTTGACTGTACTTATTCGAATATTTCAAAACGTTTTCGTATTTTGGAAAATGTGAATTAGGCAGGTTTATCTTTTTACTATTTTTTTTTTCACAGTTATTCTTAAATATATTCGAATGCTGCCGGTTACTTAGAGCGAATGCATAATAATTTTGTTGGTAATAATAAACTTATTATTGGTATAAAGATCACACTAACATAAACAAAAAATCCTTCGACCCAACTAGACCAACAAGTGTCTGTAACCTCAACGTGGCCACCGCTCTGCCAACTATGTGCTTTTTACGGATCTTTGTATTGGGTTTTTAAACTGGTGGTGGTTCTTGCCGTTTTATTATTATCAGATCGAATGCAAGTTTTTCCCGCACTGAATCGGTTCTATGGCGCGAGTCGAGCAGCAGGGACATTGGCTTTATTTCAAAATGTATTTTTTTACAAACGAAACTAAAGCTATTTGAAAAATGTATATCGTATACTACGTGTGGCGCACTATAGGTTTCCGGAATGAATAAGAAAAAATGATATAAATGGTCAGAAATGAATTTATTGCTTCTCAAAATGTTCCACATTAGCGTTAATGCACTTTTTCATACGAATGAACCAACTTTGAAAACATTTATGCCACTCCTCCGTGACAATCTCTGAAACATATTTTTCACACTTTTCGACAGCCTCTTCAGGTGATGAAAATCGTTGACCGCGTAACTGGTTCTTAATTTTTGGAAATAAATAAAAGTCACAAGGTGCCAGGTCGGGACTGTACGCGGGATGGCTCATAAGGTCAACGTTGTTCACCTTCAAAAATTTATTTGTCTGTCTGGCCGTGTGAGAACTGGCATTATCGTGATGCAAGATGATGCCGCATTTACGGTTATTTTTATGGAGTTTGTCAATAACTTCCGGCAAACAAATGGTCGTGTATCAATCACCATTCACGATTCCAGTTTTATAAAAAAAGAAGCAATCATCCGCTTACAGGCACTTTGCACGTGCGCCACTTTGGTTGGTTTCGGCTCATCTTGAAAGACCCATCGCTCGATTGCTGCTTCGTTTTGGGATCGTAACTATAAATCCATGTTTCGTCACCTGATACTATGTCCCACACCAAATTTGACGCCCCTTCGTTGAATCTGGTAAGCATGGCATTGCACCAAGTGACGCGATTCGTTTTTTGAGCCTCAGTCAAATTGTGTGGGATCCACCGAGAGCAGTTTTTTCACACCCAAATGTTTGTATAGCAGTATTTGTATTTGACTAAAGATGTCAGAATCTCATGGTATATCACATGCCCAGCAGCGATGTTTTTGTTGTCCACAGCAGTGGACGGGCGATCATCACGAAATTCGTCATTGAGATTCACGTGACCGTGTTTGAATTCTGCAAACCAGCTATAAATAGTCGTCTTGCATGGTGCTTCATCGTCAAAAGCAGTTTGAAGGCGAGGGACGCTCCTCTGAGCTGTTAATTATGTGAGCGTAACTGCGAAAATTTTCGCGATTTAAATCCATGATGATGTAGACAACCAATTTCTAAAATGACGCCACAATGTAAAAACAAGTGACAGTAAACTGTATTCTACAGCCAAAGAGTTCCAATTTCGAATGTTGTAATTACTTTTTAAATATTGTTTAAGTAAGTGGCCAGTTCCGGAAACTTATAGTGCGCCCTATGTATACGTATTGTATTTAATAAAACTGTACAAAAAAAAAAAACATTTGTAAAGTATCTATTGAATGGTGTTTCTTTTGTAAAATTTAGAGGTAAGTTGTGTTTTTTTTTTCTATCGTGAAATTTTTTTTATTTATTTTTATATGTTCAATTTTTCTACATAATTTTTTCCAAAATTCAACACTTTCACTGTTATGCGGAATCAACATAAGCCATTTGAGGTTATTTCGACTCTCAATAATATCATGGTAGTAAATCATGTTATTCACTAACATCGAGTATATAACCAGAAATAAAGACGAAATAAGGGCCATGTATTCCTGGTAACACATGAGTTCAACATCAACTCTCGTTTGCACTGAAATATAGACAAGCCAACTACTGACCTGTACTACGTATATTTCAAAAAATATTCTGTATTTATTGTAATAAAGATAATATCTCTAACAATGCCGTGATGTTCTATTCGGTGGTGTGGGAAAAACAGCAAAACATCTAAGTACAAATCAAACGGAATCACATTTCATCGGTAATTAAATATTAAATATGTAATTTTGCAATTGTCGTCCATTATAGCAAAGCTCAAGTTAACTGGTCGATTTGAAGTGAAACAGTTGACGACACCCATTGAAGACACCCGTCAATTGTATCGAACTCGGGCTAGCCAATCGGAGCGCAGTTGTCATAGTAATCATATGGCAGAATAGTTTTCAAACAAATTAAATGACATTTCGTCTCTATTTCTGGTTATATACTCGATGTTCATTATTAACTTATAATATATTAATAAAACTGTTATTACTTCTTAGACAAACACCCATCACTGTTTACAATTTGAAGGTATAAAATTAGACAAGTTTGACCTTTTTCTAATTCAGGCAATTGTACTTGGAATAGGATTATAAATAGTAATAAAGTTTTTATTTCTTTGTTTGTAGACGAGAGTGTTTCTTTTTAACGTCTTGAATATTAATGATGTTGTTAAGCTGATAATGTCGTTTTGTTTTCTATTATTATGTTCTTTTTTATGATACCAAGTTAGGTGACACAAGTCGAGTACAGGACAGTTGCAGTGCCACTCAGAGCTTTAAATCACAAAGATCTGAGGGGCACTGCCACTGCGCCCATCGCCGTGAGACATAAGTTGATAAGTCCCATGTGCCTGGAATTTCACCAGCACTTTACCCTTCTAAACCGGAACCCAGTTATGCTCACATAACTGCTTGGCGACAGAGATAGGTGAGGTGGCAGTACTTCCCTGGACGAACTCTTTCACAAGGAGCTCTACTGCTACAAAAGACCATAATTTTTAAAAAATTATATGGCCTTCAATTGTAGCATGCTAGACGTGGGCTAATTAGCCCACCTGCTCGCTCTGAACATGCCGAATGTCAGAAACTCGGTCAAAATACAAAAGATGTCGTCATGTGTTATGAGATTTCGTACATACAATTCAATTAAATGTGACGCATATTTGTGTGTAAGTGGTGCCATTTATAAGCGCTAGTTCACCGCAACTACATAAGGTGTTCACCTTTTTTATATAATTATAGGCGTGTCGTTTGCTACAAGGCGCACGACATGTTCGTCCCGTCACTTGATAAGTACTATAAAAAAAATTCAAGTTTTAAAGCCAGCGACCCGCTATCTATCGTTCCTCTTTTTATTATATCTTATTTTTATAGTTTTTTTTATTATAATTATTATTAATTTAATTATTTTTATTATATAATAATGCAATATGAAATTAAGAATAAGAATTTGTATACCAATTGCTGGCGCAACGCAATGAACCGTAAGAGTAAACTTAAATATATAAACCGTGTATGTTTACAAATAAATATACATAAATATATACCTAACTATGACATAAGATTGTTTTTAACAAAGTTGCCTTTTACACTTTCTTCCCCGAAATGTAGATATATTTTGGTGTGTGTAGTAAAAGGCTATGTTTTGTTTGTTGTATTTAATTTACTTAGTAAGTTACATCTATATGTACACACAAAGCAAGTTCGCTCTTTAGTAACGATTATAAATATCATCTTAAGATTTTTTTTACAACGCCAACGACTATCCCATATCTACTGCCATTTGCAGCAGGCACCGAAATGTAATTTAAAAATATAATTTCTTTTATCTATGTTATTGTCTCTATGCGTAAGAAACGTACAATTATTTTCTCTTTCTTAACGTCATTTTTCTTACAAGTCCAATTACTGAATGTCAGATATTTAAACTCTCTTTAGGGGTCCATGGAAGTGAGACTTAACCACCTAAGCAATATCTGTATCACTGTTATTACTAGTGATTTCTTTACCTTTCTCTGCAGGACGTTGATCTTCCGATCTTTGATTTCGCTGTGGTCACGCAGCTCTGCTAGTTCATGGGCTGCGGCCAATGCCGCAGCCGTTTTCTTCTCCACCATTCGGCTTTTTTCATCCAGACGGGCTTTTAGTTCTTCAACCTGCAAAGGAAGGAAAGTGTTAAATGTACTAGATAGCTGAATTATCTGAACTCATACTAGGACGGACATTGTAAGTACGAGTGAAATAAAATTCATCAAACAGTCTGATATAACTACTCAAAAGTCGAGAAAAATAAAATTTGTTTCTACCAGCAATATAACTCTGAACCATCACATTGAAGTTTATCTCCTCATCAACGAGGATACAACTGAGAAGAAGCACATTTCGAGCTAAAGCTGGATTTGATTTAACCACGTTACATTTCTACTTGTTATTGGTATCACGGGTTGGTTCCCGCGATGCGACGTCAACATGCGCCTACTTTATTAATCTACATATTTAAATGAATATACTTACTATGCCATATTTTGTCTGTATGAAATGAAAACATATTTTTGTATAACTTTTGATCTAGTGATACGAATTGAAAAACTTTTACATTTTTGCTTTCGCGTATTTTCCACTAATGGGTGCGCCTCACTTATACGAAAAATAAACTAATTTCAAAACAAATACCGTTCATTTAATATAATTTTTATTTGGACTAATTTCACTTCCTATAATTTAACTTCATATAATTCTTGTTTGACATAACATTCGCATTTTATATTTTTTTTTTATATAAAGCCCATATTACATAACAATCATTTCATATATTGTCAATTTAGGTAATTTTTACGTAGTATAATATCACTTTTCATAAATAATACAGATTTGTTTTCCCTAATATAGTTTACAATGCTGAATTTCCATTCGACAAAATTATTCTTTTTAGACACTGGATACCTTAGTGGTTTCAATAAAATAAACGTATTTACATAGGTCAAATTTTGGCTGCGGTTTCCATTCAGTAGATTAGGTTAAGTTAGAATATGAAAAAGCACGAACCGAACGAGCGTGCCGCGGCAGCGGCCGGCGCGTGCCAGATACGAATTTATTTGCGTTTCCGAAGATGTTTTCAGGCCAAATTATAATTAATATGATATTAGTATAAGCGATATCGTTTTTAGGAAACAATCATATTTCTAGATGAAACGACATTTAGATAAAATGACGTTATATTAGCTATGGTTTACATGATCGTTACTAAAAATGAGTGTTAGTGTAAGTGATCGTAATAAAAAATGGAATTATAGAATGTTAGTTTATATTAAACGTTCATTATATGAAGTGAATTACTATGTTAAATGAGCTAATAGGAAGTAAAATTATGCCAATTGAGCGTTATGTGAATAATATTTATATGATACATTATACACCCTTCCATTAATGTTGACTACTTTCCTTATTTACTTACATCTGTTTGCAACATGCTGTAATGTTCCTCTTTGGCACACAGCGATTCTTTCAGCACGGCAATATGGCGCTGGTAATCCTGGTGCTGTTCCTCTAAGGCCTTCATTTTAGCAGCCATCGCGAGGATCTCCTGGTCTCGTCTCTGGATCTCCAGGCGGAACTCGTCCAGCTGCCCATCAACCATCCGAAACGACGGTAGAATTGAAACGTCCAAACACGTTAGTAGACATTTTAAAGGAAGACAAAAACATGGAATTAGAACTTAAGGTGATATACACGTCATCAATAATCTATCGACTACTGATGAAGTAGGACACCTTTATGAGTTCTGAGTCCATGATAATTCTATCTACATAGGCAAAAGTGATGGCGAAAATGATACTGATGTCAATATCAAATATAATCTACGTAATACTGTTTCAGAAATGACTAAAGGTTAAGTGGTTAGTACCGATGTATGGAAAGCGACGCAAGCTTCGTTAAATGTTATTTATCAACTTAATGGAAACGTTTCCAGCCTTAATTTAATACACAGACACACTGCCACTGGAAGACATTTCAATACACTTTCCCACTACATGCAATTTGAATAATTATCTTAATTTTAATATTAACTAATAAGTGAAACGTTTAAAAACGCACCGTTCAAAATACAAAAATGATCGTTACTGGAAAACTTTCTATGCTAAACACTAATACTGGATGGCAAACAAGAATGATCGGTGGTAGAAGGTTTTCCAGAATGAGTCTAGCACGAGACGAGTAGGTAGACAATAAGATAACGCTGATGCACGGGCGCCTACGTTGTGATACATTTATCTACCGAGTGTGAGAGATGATTCGACTACATGAAGAGGTCGTGATGATGACGGGTGGCGCGGGACAAGCGTACTGACGATCAACACCGAAAGCAAAACATCACCAAATGATAACAAATTTAGGAATCACAACGTACTCGAAGAATTCATTCGATGCATTCGACCTCAACAGTCTTTTAATAACAGTCTATCTCTATATCGTTAAATTTGGTGTCAACGTAATCGATCGCACATTGTTTCTAACCATACAATTTACATCTAATAAAATACCTATTCGCATCTAAGGCCCTAGATAACAAAAATATTTTCTCATGACAGTTATTCAAGAATATAAATTCCTCTTATACTTTAATAAATATAGCTTTATAACAATGAACAAGTTTCACATAAAAATACGAGTCAACACAGTCGACGATCGGCTAAGTTCGGACTTAAAGCGAGAAATTGACACGGTAGGCGTCGGTCGGAGAGGTGTAGTAGAAGAAGTCGCGGCCCGCGCCGATGGCGTGCGGTCACAGAGTGGTGGCGCTATAGTAGTGGCCCGTGGCGGGCAGGGTCGGCAGGGGCGGCAGACGCGGCAGGGACGCCAGGGGCCAGGGCGAGAGCGGCAGTGCGGACGAGGAGCGCAGCGCGGGCGGCGGCAGGGACAGGCCGGCCCGCGCTGACACCGGCGGCGCGCTCAGGCTGCCGTCCTTCATCACGCGCACGTCGTTCAGCAGAAAACTTACTTGTCTCTTGAAGGGGGGGTCGACTTTGTCGTAGAGCGAGGCGTGGGAGGGCGCGTACGAGGGCGGCGGCGGCGACCCGAGCGCGGCCAGTTCGCTCTCGAGGAGCGCAACCTGCCGCTCCAGGGTAGCGATGCGCGCCTCCTTGGTCTCCAGCACGGCCGTGAGTGTGGCGCCCGCGCTGCCGCCCGGCAGGCCGGCCGCGGCCAGGGCCCGCTCCAGCTGCGCCTGGAGCGCCCGCAGCGTGTCCGCCGTCGCCTTCAACTCCTGCCAGTCGAGTGCAACGCGAGTCGGTCAGCCGCCGCCGCCGCCGCCGCCGCCGCGCCGACACCGACGGCGGCCCCGCTCGACAACAACCTACCTACTACCGACGTCTCGTATCGCGCCGCCTGGGGCTGCGTTCCGTCCAACTGTACTCTACTGCTGCTGGGATTCATGCGACGCGAGCTCCGCTCCGAATCGGTTGCGGCATTATGGCGATAATGACGCGCTCGTACTCGTTTGACGACGCAGCCCCAGATGAAGCGGAGCAATAATTTTAAACAATGCTCAAACTGATTCCAATGAAATTTACACGAGACGGTCTTCTCTAAGGTTCATGTGACGGGGACAATGAACTGCTAAACATGCAATGTCGTGATTTCGTTGTGTTCGTGTCGCTTTTTGTATTTTTTTGTGTTTAGGCCGAATCGAATTAATTTTGAGATCTTTCTTTTAAATTTTGATTTTGAATCGTCGACGTGTGAGGTGGAGGATGTAAAAGGTTGGAAAATCGGTGCTCGGGGGCAAGCTGACAGTGTCACAGAAAGGCCTTGAGACGGTGAAGAGGAAGCTACAGTTGTATAGAATAGATTGTATGAAGCCAACGAAGATGTCGATCGTACACATATAAGGCGCGCGACAGTCACATTCGGCTCAGACTCAACAAATGAATGAAAATGAAACTATCAAGAGCAACGCTAACAGAAACAGTGATGTTGATAAAGGTATCACAAAATAAATCGCCCATGTGGTTAACAATACATAAATATAAGGAAGCGAATCGACGTGCACATACGTACTAAGTAACTAGGTGTAGGAAACATTCACAATATCGATAGCAAAGTTTCCAATCGTTTGACAGATGTCGCTTTGGAAGCTTTGCTAGAACAACACATCATGCAAAAAGATATCAATAATTGAATTCGATAATTACCTGTTTCTGTGCCATCGCCTGCATTTGTTGGAACATTTGTCTTTCTTCTTCTTTCCCTGAAAGTTATTGCAACGTTTACTCCTTCGTAACGTCGTTTTAAAAAAACTTTTGCTAAGAAAATTCAAGTGGTTAAACATACCCATCCCCTTGTTTTGAAGCATTTCAAGTAATTTTTTGATGCTTTCATCTCTGGCTTGTAAGGTTTGCTTCTGTGTTTCAATCCTCAGTTCTAGTTCCTGTTTAGAAAGGTATAATTTTGTTAATCAAGCCCCTGCATCAAGGTTCAACAAAAATCACCTTTGCAGAAGCATAAGGGAACCTAAGGTAGACTAACCCCAATCTGATCATATCTTGGATTGGTTTAACCGACCCTAACATTTCAAACTTAATAATCTATAAGAAAAACAAAACAAGAACCTTAAAACATTACCTAGAGGAACACCCGTTATAGAAAACGACAAAAAACAACAAACCACAAAGACAAAACTAGACTTTATTTTCTTACCTTAATGGTGTCTCTCAATATGGCTATTTCTCTTTGTAGGTGTTCGTTTTCGGCGTAAATTGATTCTAGTTGTTGTTGAAGCTCAGGAGCGGGCTGTCGTAAGCGCAACCGGAGTTCTTCTTCCAATTGTCTCACAAGCATTGCTTGTTTCTGTAAAGGAGAGAAAAGTTAGTTGAGATTTTCATCAACAGAGATACAGTGTGATACTTAACAATAGACAATAGTGACACTTAATAAAATAATAACAACATTTTTGGTTAAAGTATTCCTTTGTTGGAGAATTCTTAACATATTATCTAGTAATAGTCAATGGCCGAAGGATAAAGGAATTTCCAGTTTTTTTCTTTTTATAATATCAAGTGACAGGACGAAGTCCCATGTGCCTGTAATTGCACCAGCACCTGCTGCTTTTCAGCAGAAATAGGTGAGGTGGCAGTAGGTGTTTTCGCGGACGAACTGTTTCACAAGGAGCTCTACTACTACTAAAGTTTGAAATAGCCCTGGATACTTGGTGAAAATATTGTTATTGATAATTTGGTGATGTAGGTTAATAAAAAAGTTTGCAAGATAGACTTTATGCCTGTCAAATAGTATCATGTTTTTCAGCAAATATTAAATTCCGCTTGAGAGTTTTCTTTCACGCTGAGGTGAGGAATTGTATAGTGGTCAAGAAGTTTTAGTTTTCATCGTTCTGTGTAAAGTTTCTAGGCATGTTTACTTACTATGCTGATTTATAATCAGCGAAACGTGGTAAAATTTCACTTTGAAATTTCAAAACAGTAATTTTGAAGAAATTATTGGATTATTGGTGCTACACAATACTATAAATTTAAATAAAATTTATATTTCACAGGAACTTAAACCTTTGCGTGATTCAACATCACTTTACTATTTGAATACAAAAGAAATCTTCATAAACTTTAACGTTGAACTAATTCGAAGTCAAGTAACCATAGGTAAAATTTTTACACTTGAAAACGTTATATTTTAAGCTCCTGCTTATTCACTGCGCTGACCTCCCTGAGAAGAACGAGCAAGAAACTGTACGGTTTGCTCTTTTCAATAAATTTAGTTGCTATGGAATACACTTTAAATCATAATTGTGTGGAATCTAGACTCGTGTTTAAAACAGTGCCACATTTTTTACAGTTGTATCTATATGTATCGTGATATGTGCGATGTTATATGTTGATTCCGATCTCTGGCCATCAAAGATGTGACAGCCTCGTATACATCTAATGACATTCCCTTTGATTATAGTTATAACATAATTAAATACAATGCGTTACAAACGCAACAGCATTTTTGTAGTTTAATTTAATATCATTTTCGAGGCAGTAGCAAAACGTTTGTCAAGCGCATATTACGTAGACCGGGGGGTTTTATTATGCACCAATCAACTAACACCACATTTGTGTTATTTTATACCTACCACATATTTAACGAAGGTCAAAAAGATCGTTCACTTTGAGATGTTCTTCTATAAGAACTGTTTAACGATTAATGGCACTAGGTACTCCTGTAAACTAGTTACCTATTGCCAAAGTATTACAGTCAACTATAAAAATTTTAATAGCAGTAGAGCTCGAAAAAGTTCGTCCAGGGAAGTATTGCCACCTTACCTATTTCTGCCGCCAACCAGTAATGTCAGCAGGTACTACCACTGACTATATCCGAATTGCCCGAATTCAGAAGAAAGATAAAAAAAAATTTAATTGAAAATCGATTCTATAAAGTTCACGAATATTTTGACATAGGAAATGACACTAATTTTCCGGATTTAAATTGCGTTTATTTGTTTTTTCAAACAAACCGACGTTTCGGGCCCGAAACGTCGCCCGAAAAAAAAAACTAAAAAGTAAAAAAAAACTTCGCAATATTAAAATCGAGAGTTACAGGAGGTACTGTGCTGTTGTTGAATATTCAATTTGAATACTTGTTCCGTTTGACGCACTTACCGGAGGTTACAAAAGTATTTAAAAATTAAGTTCTCAAAATGCATTATAACAATGTGCCGGACAACCACACTAATTGCCTTTACCATAGCAACGAAATTCACTGTGGGGCACTTCTCAGAACACCCAGACCAGAAACAATTCAGTTCATTGCCCAATCTGGGACTCGAGTCTGTGACCTCCACATCTAGCGCCCACATTGCAAAACGTTGGGCCACAGAGGTCGTCCTATTTTTTATTTTAAAGCATCGAAAGAAAGTTTACTAACTGTTTTCCAGAAATGGAAAACAGTTAGTAACGTGTCTATGACGCAACATTATTAACAGTAGGTAACAGAGAAGGGGTGCTAATGTTGTTTGAGTTTGTACGGCTTCAGCAAGATGCGACATTCAAGTTGTAAATGTATTGTTTATAATAAGCGATTTCAATATTTACTTTTTTTTACCGATACCAAATGGTGGGACAGACAAGTCGTGCGCCTGGTGGTAAACGACACGCCTAGCCATAACAGTTGCCACTCAGAGCTTTAAATCGTAAAGATCTGAGGTATCTGGGCACTGCCACTGCGCCCGTCACCCTGAGGCATTAGTTGAAAAGTTCCATGAGCCAGTAATATTACCAGCACGCTTGCCTTTCAACACTGGAACACAGTAATGCCTATATTACCGCTTGGCGGCAGAAATAGGAAAGGTGGCAGTCCATCTCCATCCAGGCAGTCCATCAAGTCTGTGATACTAAAGATTCCTCATCGGCGGTGCCAGTCGTGAGAAATAGGACCTTAAATCTTTTGTGCTATTGGTTCCGCTGACTCTGCCCATTCAATTCGAAAAAGTGTGGTCTTCTTACGGAAGAAATAATGGTTCGTAAACAAACCTTACCTTCTACCTTGGAGTTATCCTTGAGTAGCTTCAGATTATTAGAATTAGTATTTTAATAATCTGTAGGTTTAGACCAGGGTTTCTTAACCTGTGGTCTATGGACCCCTAGTAATGAACGCCGGGGGTTCATGCCGAGCCTACCTAATATAATGCATTAATATAAAAATTGGTGTACAATGTTATATTGTGAGTAAATAGATACAGTGCGCGAGACTTTTTTAAAATTTTAAATTTTCGCAGCTTTTGAAGGCTATTCATTATTGGAGCGAGTGGGATGCGCGTCAATGCGTCGTTGCATACAACCTGCGAGCCTTTCTTCTTTTTTATCTTTCCGGAAAGTGTCCATATGCTCTTCGAAATTTTGAGAGGGGTCCATGATTAGAAAAAGGTAAAGAAATCCTGGCTTAGACGATCTTGGTGGCCCAGCTATTAGCACCCTAGGTCCCAGGTGAGGAAGTCTCAATTAAGCCTAATTTAGGTACCGAAATTTCCTTTATTGCTCTGAACTTTATATTGCTCACGCGGGTTTTTACGTGAATAATGTGAATCTAGTGTCGTCATCGCACGTACACTGTAACGACAATGAGTTGGTGAAAGCGGAAAATCCGTGAATTCCGCTTAGGTAAAAATGAGTCACTAGGCTTTTACGCGACGGCTTTGTAGGCTTTGTGGAGTTATATATTTTTTATGATACCAAATACCAGGACGAACAAGTCGTGCGTGTAGTGGTAAACGACACGTCCGTCCGTAGCAGTTTCAGTGCCACTTTAAATTGCAAAGATCTGAGGGGCACTGCCACTAAGTCCGTTATCCTGAGACTCAAGTTGCTAAGTCCCACGTGCCTGTAATCTTTTGTGTTTAAGTAGCAGTAGAGGTCCTTAAGAGAGAAAGAGTTCGTCCAGGGTAGCACTGCCACCTTACCTAGTTCTGCCGTCAAGCGGTAATGTCAGCATTACTTTGTTCCGGTTTTGAAGGGTAAGGCTGCTTGTGAAATTGCAGGTATATGGGACTTGTCAACGTAAGTATCAGGGTGACGGGCGCAGTGGCAGTGCCCCTCAGATCTTTGCGATTTAAAGCTCTGAGTGGTGTGTAGCTTACATCAGGCGCACGACTTGTTCTCCCGTCACAAGATATTAGAAAAAAATCACGAAATTATGTAGAGATTTAGAAAACTTTTACGGAACATCCAATTGTGTCCTAAAGCTCTGAATTACCAAAATGTCACCACAATTTTTTTTCTTTTCAGTTTCTAAAGAAATAAATCGTAGCTGACAGATGAGTCGTTCAACTTGAAAATGAGGAAGTTTGTACCCAAAAGTTGTTCCCCTGAGGGGGATAATATTCGTTGGAATATTAGGACGCCTCCTGAGTCGTATTTACAAGACTTATCCTTTGAAACTGGCAGGCAACCTTTGCGAATATCGAGTGAACTTATTTCTTAAAAGATTGTGGTGAAATTAGAAGCAGTGTAGTTAAGGGGTGCTACTGCGTTTGAAAAATAAAACCTAAATTATCTATATAAACTGCACTACATATAAATATTATATTACATAATAGTTTTTTCTTTGTGACTTTTCTGTGTTAAGTCAATATAAAAAATACGTGTTTTGAATTATTTTTTCTGGCGGTGGGCGTTGAAATTTTTTTATCTTGCCTGAGTGGGTACTGAACCAAAAAGTTTGGGAAACCTATGGTATAGATTACAGTAAATATTATGTTTTACTACCATGATATTAATTTATTTTCTGTGAAATTACTTCGTAAATAATAATTTTTTTTTAGTAACGCACAATAACTTTATGTGCTGCGGGTGTTTCAAAATGCATGCTTGTAACGTTTCCATTTCCTGTGTATCACAAAGAAAAAAAATTAAGATTTTATCAACAAATCCAGTCGGTCCAAGTTGTGGTACTGTGACCTACCTCAACAACAATAAAAACTGGCGATAATAATTATAACACATTAATAATCAGAAATTTTGTTTCATAAACACATTTTTTTACACGAGACGGGACAATCAAGTCGTGCGCCTGGTGGTAAGCGACACGCCTATCCATAAAAGAGGAGATTTGGTAGTGGACTTAGGCTTAACTCACACTGGCGCAGAGTCGAAGCGTCGCGACGCGTCATGTTTTTCGCCTTTAGTGTATGCATCTCTATTTTCCCATTATTAAGGTACAAATTTGTGTTATGCAAATATGGAAACGGGCGACGGAGTCGACGCTTGGTTGCGGTCGAGCGTCTTCGCGCGTCACTTAAGCGCAGTGAGGCGTCAGACGCCGACCACACTGTGATTCAGGCGCACTAAGGGCGCGTT